GGGGGGGAAGCCCTCCCAATCAGTCCGTATGCACGCGAAATCGTACTTAATTATGCAACGCACAGATGTTCCGCTGTCGTGTAAACATCGGGACGGAGCGAGATGGCGAGAGCGCGCAGATGACAGACGGGCGCGAGAGAGGGAAGCGCCGATTGATAAGAGCCTCCCTCATCTGATAAAGGTCAAAGAGAGAGAGAGAAAGAGAAGAGAGCGAGGGTCGCGTCTGCTGGGGGGGAGGGTGTCTTACTCACGATGTAGAGGATGTTGAGTGCCGTCAGCGCATTTTTCGAGCACGTAAAACCGCCACACATCTTCGACCGCGCGCTCTCCGTCCGTCACTCGCGCTGTCAGATCCTGCTGCAGGTCCGCACGTCGCGCGATTCGCGGGCGCGAGACGCGTGACCCCGGGGCGAGTCGCACGGAGGATTACGTGGTCTCCGGGTTCAAGGGAATGGCGTACGAAGTGCGGGAGGCGCGCTCTACGAGAGGAGAACGATCGCGATCGGCGTGCGACTCTTAATTCCGCGTGCTCGCACGAATTTCAGGCCCTGCCGAGGTCCCCGACGACGGACGCCACGCCACGGCACGGCAGACGACTCGCGACTACTGGCGGCGACAGTGGCGACGATGGCGTCACTGCGGCCCGAGGGAACGCGATGGCGACGGTCGACGGCGCGCTCGATAGATTGCGAGTGTCACGCGCGAAACACGAACGTGCCGCCGCCGCCGCCGCCGCCACCCGGGAGAATTCGAGCAGCCAGTAGTAAACCGAACTGCGAAATCTTAATTCGTTCGACGTTTCTGTTCGATCGAGACATGCGTCGTCCCGCCGACACGTAAAGATAATCCTTTCATTCCTTGCGTTTATTTTATTATGACAGACTCGCGACAGTTGATATATAAGATTTAATTCAACGAGATTGAGACGCTATACGCGCGCCACACAGTCGTAAAAAGATTTGACCCATCCGAGTAAATCGTAATTTTTAATTTAGCCTTTGAATGTCTGGGCTTTCGTTTATTGGAAAAAAAAAGAAAAAAAAAGATTAGATTTTATTTTCTCAGATCGAATTATAATGTTATCGAACTGCATCGGGGTGGAGATAATATGACGTTCGTTATTTCGTCACCGCGAAGAAGCGTGGAAGGAAGAAGCGGCCTGTTTTGTGTTTTTGTCACGCGGAGATATACAGACACTTGTGATAAAATATTCGCATTTATTTCGTTCGTTACCGCGCTGTCGACGAACGCGGGCATCGTAAATATGTCACAGCGCAGCTCGTGCGGATTAGACGTTAACGACGTGAACGCTTGGCCCAGATAAGGCATAAACACTCTGCGTATTTAAATGCAGTTTCCCTACAACACGCGACTAGCTGCGTATTGCATCCTTTTTTTTCTCCGTACCGTTGATCGAAATATATCCAGCTTTATCCATTTCATTCAAGTAAAGACTCGGCATATATGCACGCGATAGCGTTTCACAAATTAAATGTCACCGAAATTTCACTTAAAATTCGCACGAAAATTGTAACAATCGTTAACTAGTTAGTTATCGACAAACGATTTCTCCATTACTTGTCGACATATTTTCGATACTCGTGGTAGTTAATTATGGTTAATTATAAATTTATTAGTACCCTGAAGATAACCACAATTTAATGTTTGACCGGCTATAATGACGATATTGCAATTACAATTAAAAATAAACTATCGACAAAACTAAAGAATCTATTTTTATATAAATAAATGTCATGAATATTGAAATATATATTATATGAATATTTAGACATAAAATTATAATTATAATTATTATATAAGTATTTAAACATAATGTATATATAATTAAAATTAAAATTATTTTATTATAATGATTTATTTCTAATTTATTTTATTATAATTATAATTTATCCTATTTTATATTATTTAATCTAAAAATTTCTCTCTCTCTCTCTCTCTCTCTTTCTCTGTACATCTATTTTTTATCTAATTTAATTTTCCTAGTTAAAAATGGTTATTTTGCATCGTGGAAAACTCCAGAATGGAACATTTATAAGACTTTATATCCAATAATACTTATATTGCAAAAACGCGCGATGTATTTTCCGCAGGTTAATTACCGTTAAGATAAGAGGTATCCGCGCATTTTCGCAGAAAATACTTGGAATGCATCATGTTTGCACACGGATGTGTAAAGCGCATATTGCTTCACGCCAGAAATTATCAAGGCTTTCAAGACGCGATAACGATTACCTTGTACGTTTGATTTAAAAGTGGCCAAGAAAAGAGCAGAGTTTATAAACAACGATCATTCTTGCAAAAGCTTGCGATTTCGCACAAGAATGTCATTGTTTCTTTATATCTGTGATCGCAGATAATACAGATCGAAGTAGATCACAATGGTAGAGCATTGTAGAAAAAAGCGATAACTTCGAGAAATACGAGTAATCGACTTTACATGCACATTTTTAAATAGGAAAAAAAATTTGTCAATGTATGTATGTATATATACACTATATTTGTAACTATATATACTGTATATAGCTATAAATATAGTAGCAAGATATTTCATATTTTATGTCAAAATACCAATGACATGACAAAGTATGAATATCTCGTCAAATATTGATTTTTCGAACTTTAACTTAACTACGTTTGTGTGCAGAATTAGAGAAATCATATTAAGTAAAATAATCATGTAATTCCAAAAAATGTGAAAATATAAAAATACAAAGTTGAGGTGACCTTTATATCTTTTAGCATCTCTACCTAGAAAAATTGCAACTTAACTAAAATATTCCTCCTCGAAACCGTTTCACTTTCGTCTGAAACATTTTCTTGTATCATCAATAATTTTGAAAAAATTGGCTGTTTTAATTAAAACAAGGCGTCCTGTATATTTACTATAATTAATAAGATATATAATAAGAGTTTTTCAATATTAATATATTTAAATTTATATTGCTGTTGTATGTATGTGAATTAATTATTTATTTCTATATTAATACAATTTTAATACAATTAGGTGCGACATAATATACAGTTATCATTCAATTAATCGTCACAGTTGATGCATATAATATCTTTGTGTTGACTGCATTTATTTCGTACATGTAAAATCTCATTTATTAATAGAATATTAGTCAAAAATCTGATTTTCTTGTTAATTTGATTAAGCAATACGTGATATATCATTTTGAAATCTTTACGTATTTATTTTAACATTAAAATATTTAAAATGTAATATTACGTATAATAATAACGTATATTTATATTAATATCAATATTACGTAATAATAATATTACGTATAATAATTCGAATTAAAGACGTAAAATGTGACCTTGTAATAGTCTGTAAAAGCATGTGTAAGGAAACATTTGGTAAGACAGACAAATGTTTGGACAGACAAATGTTTCCTTTCATATAGCAGATAGCGAAAAACAATACATTTCTGGTATTATTTATTTGCATATATGCATTACGCAAGTTATAAATACTCTTTAAAAGTTTAAGAATTGATCAGTTTCGATTACATTATACGACCTGCATATTCGATTTTGTTCCCCAAGAAAAACGGTAAGTTCTAACGTAATCTAATTTTTTTAAATATAAAAGTTGAGAATTTAAATTAATAGATAATAAACTATGTATATAAAACTATATATTGCAATTCTATTTATAATAAAATGTTTTTTGACAAATATAGTATGTATATGCGAGTTATCGACTTAACATGCCTTTTTTTTAGATAAAAAGAAACATTTGTCAAGAAGTAATACTATATACAGCTGTATATATAGCTTTGTTTTTTACTGTAATTACATCCTATTTTGTATCTTATCTAAAATAATATTTTAGATACATAAAAGATACTTTCAGTACTACAATAGAAAGCGTCTCGTTTGATTACGTTGCAATTAATCACAGCCATACAGTAGCTCACTGAGCTAAGGAACAATTTAATGCAATTGATTAGATCTAAAAGTAAGATCACCAATCACATTTGACTGCTACTTACAATTAGCCGTTCAGTACGTGACTGATCGTAAGCTAGAAGTATCACGATCTTTCGCGTGCGATCTAATTAATTACTAAAATTGCGCCACACAGCACATAGAATTTCTAATAATATACTGTCGCATGCTAATGTCGACATAATTATAATGTAGTTTTTAAAATATTGAAACTGTACACCACAGTTGACCACTGTTCAACCTTCTTCAGTATAAAACGTGTTCAGTATAAACTTTTCAGTATCGGAGGATAAATTTTAATATCAAAAAGAAATCGATTATCTGATAATCATTTCAAAATGTTACTTATGTTAAAAAAAATAGAAATATTTAAAATGTATAATAAAATAAAAAAATTTTTTAAATATAAATAGTATATAGTTAATAATATTCATATTATGTATCTGTAGAACATAAATCTATAGAATCTAGATTTATCTTTAAAATACTTGAATAAATTTATATTTAATTTATAAAAAATGTACCTGTGTCTGTATCTAGTTTTTAAATTTTTCTTCAAACAATTGTAGATCTTTATTATTTTATTATCTTTGTTACTTTAAAACATGTACCTTTTACAACACTGTTTGATGTGTTAAAAGATGTGTTAAAAGACGTGTTATAAAATTTCGAAAATGTTTTATAGAACTATCAGAAAGACGAGTTTTTCTTTAAAAACACATCTCTGGGATATCTATATTAAGCACGTATGTATATATTCGAGGATATTTGATAAAATACAAATAACGATCGCCCGTGCTATTTTGTCAATCCGATAATGCACAATAGCGTGCTTCTATTACGATTCGCGGCACAGCCTATATACGAAGAGGATTTATTTCCTCTTCGTGCGAGTGGAATATAAACAACGGTCTAAAAAAATGTGCATTACAAAAAAATAATGATCGCGCTTTTTTAATGCCCTCCCCGTTGTTGTCCACTGTTATCGTCCATTATTCACGACGTTCCCAGCGAGACCGCGGGTTTCCAAGAGAGACTATTATATCACAGCCGCGATGCTGTAAAGTGATTAATTACTTATACCAATAAGCTTGTAATGTTATTGCACGTTCGTTACTGCCGTTAATCAGCGGCACAACAAAAAGGCATTATTTATAAATAACTCCATATACATAGGATTTTCCCTTTAATTAATATACATAAGATATTAATCCTATTATATCTGCACAACGGAAAAACAAATACGTGATGATGATCGCGCTTTCGCAGTTCTCTCTATGAAATCACATTCGATCGATGTGCTTAACGCAGTTATTATAATAATACAAACTGCTGCGGTATATTTGATCTTTCTCGTACATAAATATTGAGACATTCGAATTAATTGAAATAGCATTTAAATGTCAAATAGCAACCAAGCAAAAATGTCAAACGTCGCGTCTAATGTCCACCTTATTTCTTCGAAAATCTTTACGACAATGTTGAATTTAAAATAATTCGTCCCGCGTTATTTATAATTTATCAATTCTATTGTCTTGTTGTCGAAATAACGAAATAGATAATGGAGTGACGTGGTACCACTTCGTACCGCGTACACAAGCGATACAATAACCGAGCGTACGTGTATATTTGATTATTGCCTGCTTCGAAACGCGCGTGTTGCACAATTTGAAGGATTACATCGTGCTTTTATTATGTCTTCGTGTTAATTAGGTTACCTTAAGACCCTTGTCGCCAGTCTCGAGTAATCAAACATGCGCAATAGTTTGCAAATGGCACGTGCACAGAAAAATGATTCGACGTTTATTCTACCTGTCCTTCGTCCGAACTAACTTACTAGTAATAAGCAAACATTCTCGAGCGCGTGGGGCGAGTGGGGACAGTGGCAGATTTGACACGAATCGCTGATAAGGAAGGCGCTGATAAAGTGACATATATAATCTACGGCGCCATGAATTCGTTGTTATTCCATCTGAAATGCATTAAAATCCGGGTGCCGTTAGGCTAGTGCAGATTCCTGGTCGTCTTTCCTGGTAGCATTAGCGCGCTTCATCGTTATCTCTGTAAGCACAATATTGATTAAAATTTAATAGAATTTTCTTTACAAATAGCTTAAGGAACATAACTGGATTGAGTCAATTGTCGTCAATTTGTAAGATTTACTGACATTGCAGAGCATATTTTGTAAATTATGGTGTTCAAATTTTTTGCATAAAATAATAGAATATGTATGTTTTAAGTAGAAAAAAAGAGTATAATATAATATTTTTTTTATAATACATAAAATGGAGTAGAAAAAGAGTACAATATTTTTTTTGTACTATGTGTTTTTAAATCAGAGATAACAAAGTAATGTCAATGCGAGTCGACACGGATGTTACAAATAATTTTTATTGCCACACACTGTGTGCCACACTTTTCGTCGGTCTTAAAACACAGTTCTTTATTTTGAAGCCGAAATCTACTGTAACAAATTAAATTATTGACAATAGGCAATTTAATATTTTTGATGCTAACAAACATCTAATCCCCCTCTCCCCAAAAACCTATAAAGAATTTATTAGGAAATGTCATATCGAATATTGAATATCACTTTAGTCATGATTCGAATTTGGATTTCCCTTCTTACGGGGTGGATGTTCTAATATTCGATTACTGAGGCGTATGATGATATTCTTCATAATAACTAATATATATAAATAATGTACTGACGCATTTTTCAGGCAGCGTGAAATATAAATTGAAATTGAAAGCAATTAGGCTCCTAAGAATAAATCAGAGATAACAAAGTAATGCCAATACGAAGCAATTGCTTCCGGCTTCATATAAAGAACTGTATTTTAAGACCGGCAAAAAGTGCGGCGCGCAGTTCGTGTGTGACTGGTTAATGTGACAATAAAAATTGTTATACACATTAACGTCCGTGCCGACTCGCCTAGGTATTACTTTGTTATCTTTGATTTATTCTTGGGAGTCTAATTGCTTTCAATTTCAATTTATACTGTATTTTTAATTTCGATATAATCGCGTTCATATACTTTCTTAGTAATAAAGAAGTTCTAATTTTCTCCTCAGTCCTGCAATAAGAAGAAATAAAAGATGGAGCAATCCCGTGTTAAACGGTGGCCTCAATATTTAGCAGCGATTACAGGTAAATAAATGTAAACTACTTTTAATTTTTTTATGAAAAATAAATAATCAAAAATAAAAGCATCAATATAATTTAAAACTTTAAATCGCACTAATAAGGATTTACATAATAAAAGTTATCAATAGTAGTAAATGTTACTTCCATTTTTTAAGTTGGCTACAGATAATTATAGCCATCAAATAATGATAGTGTGATTATCACATTGAAATTGTAATGATAAACTACGAAAACTTCGGAGTTAAAAGTATTCAAAGTCCGAAACACAAGATTTTAACAAGCATTCGTCAAATTAAAAACTTATAAACTGCTTTTATTTATGATTAACGCATTATGTTAGACTATCATATATATATTAATACCTATCATATATATTAATATATATATATGATAGGTATTAATATATATATTAATATATCATATATATTAATATAAAAATTAATAGGTAACGCATTTATGTTAGACTATCATATATATTAATTTCTCTCACAATACCAATTTATACTTACATTTTTTACGTGTAAATCATGATTTATTCGAACTTTTATATTATCTAAAAAGATTATATAATTAATTTTTTCGCTATACATATATATATTTTTTTCCATACATATATATTGTATATCTTTTTTTAGATAACATAGAACAGTTCGGATAAATCATTATTTACGCATAAAAAATGTAATTATAATTTGTGAGTTATATATTGAGAGAAAAATATATATAAATCCATTTTAAAGACTGTTTTTTTCTTACGATTCCTGTATGTATACAGGAAATTCAGCGGAAAAGCGGCGTAAATCATTTATTCATTCGTCCGATTTTTATCATAGCTACCTTATCGCTGGCAACTACCGGATCTCACATAGGCTGGACGTCACCCACCTTGCCAATACTGAAGTCGTCTGATTCCCATGTCCCGATAACATCCGACGACGCTTCCTGGATCGCGTCTTTCTACCTTTTGGGCACCATCCCCGGATGCATCATTGCGGCCTTCATGGTAGACCGGCTAGGTCGGAAGATGAGCCTGCTGATAGGCGGCATACCTCTGACTCTCTCATACGTTCTGATACTCGTAGCGTGGAATCCCTACGTTCTCTATGCCGCACGGGGTATCGGCGGTATCGGCCAGGGCATAGCGTACGTCATCTGCCCGATGTACATCGGTGAGATCGCCGACAAGGAGATCAGAGGTACCCTCGGTTCCTTCATCAAGCTGATGGTGACCTTCGGAGAGCTGTACGCTCACGCGATCGGTCCGTTCGTCTCCTATCAATGGCTCGCTTACAGCTGCCTGGTGATCCCGCTCGTGTTCTTCATAAGCTTCCCCTGGATGCCCGAGTCGCCGTATTACCTGCTGATGCAGAATCGCCAGAACAACGCGATGACGAGCCTGAAACGTTTAAAGCGTTGCGTCTCCAGCAGTCAGCTGGAGACGGACATGGAGCAGATGCAGAAGATAGTCGTCCGCGATCTCAGCGATCGCGGCCGTTTCTGGGATCTGTTCGGCACGCCCGGCAATCGGCGCGCCGTCATCGTCAGCATCGGCCTGCAGCTGATTCTCCAGTTCAGCGGTATCTGCGCGGTCGAGTCGTACACCCAGGAGATCCTCGAGGAGGGCGACGCGGGTCTGCCCGCGAGCATGTCCGTCATCCTGTTGAGCATGCTCCAACTGATCGCCGGTCTCGGCGCGGTGGTCCTGGTCGACAAGCTGGGTCGACGGCCGTTACTCATCACCACCTCTCTTCTAGCCGGAATCGCGCTGACCATCGCCGGCGTCTTCTACCTCGTCAAGTTCCAATTCGGCGTGAACACCATCGGATACGGCTGGCTGCTTCACTCCTCCGTGATATTCTACGAGCTGATCATCGCGCTGGGCCTGAATCCGCTGCCCTACATGATGCTGGGCGAGCTGTTCCCGACGAACGTCAAGGGCGCCGCCGTGTCGCTGGCCAATGTCGTGTCCTCGCTGCTGGCATTCATCGTCTCCAAGATGTATCAGGTGATCTCCGACAACTGGGGGGTTTACGCGGCCTTCAGCTGGTTCGCCATCAGCTGCTACCTCGGCGTAATCTTCATCGCGCTGCTCGTGCCCGAAACCAAAGGCAAGTCCCTGCTGGAAATTCAAGAGGAGCTCAACTGCAAGCCGAAGAAGAAGGAAAAGAAGGAGAAAAAGCAACAAATCCAAATAAGTACGATTGCTTAAGTGCAAGAAAAACGACTAGATGATCACTTTTTGCGCAATACTATTGATCATCTAGAGGCTATATTGAGGTTTTGTTTTTAATTGTTTATTAGGAGGCATCAATAATATTGTACAACACAATTGTACAGTATTATTGATCGTTTAGGGACCGTTTAAGGACGCGATGCTTATGAAGAATTTATAATGATTTTTAAACGATAGAAATAAGCGATGCGCATCCCCTGGATTACGGGACATTCGACCTCAAGGCGACTAAATCGCCCTTCCGGTAACGTTTGGCTCACAAAAGCGGATGAAAAATGTTTCCAACAATCATCGGTAAGATCAATTGCAATATTTGAATACTTCAATTGGATTGTCGCTCTGATAAGATATGAATGAAGTTACTACGGCGCGCGCTGATTGGCAAAATTTTAATGGTAACAAGACGTTTGCAAAATTTAAATGGAAACAAATTCTGTTTTTAAGTCGTTTAGAAGAACCGGAGAGCGTTCCCTGTCAAAGGTCGAAGGATTTACGCGCTTCAGGAAATTCAAAAGGAAATTTTGAGAATCTTTATGTTGATATAGTTGCAGAGTCCCTTGCATTTTGATTTAAATCCGCCATAACGGAAATATGTTTTTTTTTCTATTTTCTACACTTTATTATTCTCGCAACTATGAAACTGAATGGAATTTGAATCACATAAATTTTAATTGTTAGTATACGGAAGAAAGATTCCTCAGAGGAAATCTAGTTTGTAAGTTTTTTAGTGTGTAAAAAAGGGCCCTTATATTCCATTGAAGAAGGCGCTTCGATTGAAGTAATGAGATCGCCAAACGAGCGTTTTCCCCGATCGAGATATTATAATCATACGATGTTATAATTAGAGAGAAACTTCACGCTCGCGTGATAATGACGCATATTTGTTTGGATTACATTTACATTTTGAAACGCGCAAACAGAGGCGCTCGTCACTTGTGCAAACGTAACGTTAATTCGAGAATATCTCAATTCAAACACCTTAATTCAAAAAACGTGTGTCGGATTACGTAGACTTTGACAGGAAAAATAATAATGTAAATTTTGCGCCATTATTCTTTGTTGTCATTAGCGACACGTGAAAGTCGAGCCTTTTATTTATACACAATACGCGCAAGTCGAGTGGAAGATTTTAGCGTACACAACAGATGCGGAACCGGCAACAGTTGCCTGTTGTTTAATGTGTTCTCAAAGAGCCGATAATAATCATTCTGCTCTTGTTCAGTTGCCACGTTTGCCGAATGTATTCTATTTTTGCGACAATTGTACAAGCGACTCTCGTGTCCAGCCTTGAAATATCAGCTCGATCGGCGAAAAATCTTGATTTGGCGAAGAAATCTCGGCCGAGAATAATGTGAATTTCCAGTGTGTCCGGTGGTTTCCGAAGTACCGCTTCAAAGGGTATCTTAACGGGCTCCTTCGGAAGCCATCGTGCATGCCATATCCAACGTTGCGTTAGCTAGGGTCCCCCTCGAGTACGGTAAGAGCAATCTTGCATGACCACCTCTTTTCCCTTTTAGGCAGGGTTAAACTGAAGCTTGAGACTGATAGTTTTTAATTAATCGTAAAGTATTTATTTGTCGCCTCTGGCCGAGCTCCGAACAGGCGAGAAGAAATTCTCGCGGAGGATATTATTCCGCGTGGAGAAGAATTCCCGTTCGTTTTTAATACCGAGCGTGACGCATAGCTTTCGCGATAAGATATCCTTGAACAATTTTTTTACATTTCGAACTGAACCTGAAGAATCTCCGATAGAGTAGAAAAAGAGTAACGAGGATAAAAGATGAAATAACAAAGAAAAATGTATAAAGAACATAGATGATCTGTAGAATATCTAAGATCGCTAACATGCTATAGTTTGTAGAATTGAAGCCAGACGCCATATTTATCCGGTAATCACATATACAGTGCTTTATGAAGTAGTGTACATTTAATAATATTAGCGAAAATTTTGAATGTAATCCATTATTGGGTGAAGATGGCCGCTATACACCCTTTCTTCTAAATTACTTGGCTTCACTTCATTTCTCAGAGCTAGCGATCTAGGGTATATAGAAATCTGTGATAAAGAATCTCCTTCAACAAAAGATAAAAGAGGAAAGAAGTAGCAAAAATCCTGTTCGGCGCGACACCACGGCGATTAGGAACATCTTTCTTATCCCTTTAAGGCAGGGTGCAAAACAACACACGATATAACGCTTACGATTAAACGTTATTGATGAATAGCGCGTGTGATCCGCGCGTATCTCGTGTAACATAGCCAGATACGCGCGCACGCCTATCGGCCCTGATGCAAGAAGGATTTAGACGAGCACTGTGGCATGACTACTAACTCATATTTCCCTTTCAGGCAGGGTGAGAGACATAATATATACGTACGTGTCATAGAAATAGCTTCGGCGTAGAATATAACTGGCCCGATATTAGAGTTAACGAAAAACACTCGCCGCACGTTAGTTTCGTGTGCATGCGTTTTATAAAACTTACCCCCGGGGTATCCGAGAGTTGCGTGCTCCCGTGCGTAAAAACCGGTCGCCGATGATAAAACGGGCGTCTGACCGACGACGACGTGGAGAATCTCGCGCACTGCTTTTACAATGGACCAAAACGGCACCCGGCCCGCGCTCGGCGAAGCGGCGCGAGCGAGAAGGGAAGGATTTATTCTTGCTTCTCTGCCGACGCGCGATCCACCTATCGTGGAACCCCGAAGAACGTAGAGTGTTTGACAAGCAAACGGCCGAGAGCCGTTGAACGCGAATGGAGATCAACATCACGTTTGGTTACAGAAATAATTCGCGGACAGTCGGTCATTCGCCTTTGTCATCGCGGCCACCACGTTGTACGCGCGCGCATGTTATATTCGATAAGCGATACACCTTAACTCGAGTGTCAAGTATGTTCGCGCTATTGCACGACTCTCTACATATACACGTCCCTTTCAGGCAGGGTTCAAACGTTGGTCGAACTCCACCCCACAGAAATTTCTACAATGTAGAAGTTTGCAATATACGTTGACAAATAAAGAAACTCACCGTTTTGATTCGCAGCTATACCAACTGTGTGTGTATGTGTGAATTATCTGCGAACTCCTTTTTCTCACATCCTCCCTCGCCGTCTCTTCATGCACGAGATTTCGCCTCGAGATTTCTCCTCTCGCTCTCTCTCCTCTTTTTCAGACTCGTTTCAGGGGACGGCGCGATTCGGTGAGAGGTCAGTAAAGAGGCGGAACCGCAAACCGGACAACTAGTATGTATATTTTTTTGCATTATAATAATCTCGTTATACATAAACGTTATTACAATATAGAAACATAAATTTTTTTTATAATATCTCATCCATTGTAACATCTCACAACGCCTCGCCTATGATACACACCTCGACGGTCGAGATTATTATATTACTACTACAATCCCTGGCTGGAAAAATCTCGTCAGCGTGCCCGGAATACACCACGTCGCGTGACTCTTTTCCTTTTGAATAAAACACGCGTGCCTCGCGATACGAGAGCGACAAGATGAAACTTGCACACACAGCTTTTTACCCCGCTTATTATTTAATGTCACGCACGTCGCCCAATTTTACCGAAAAAATAACCGCAGATTTTAACCGCGTGCATATTTCATAGTTGTATCCAGACCGCAAAATTGGTTCCTTATTTAATGCATTGTTTTAAAGAGATTATCTCGCATCTCGTGAAAAATAAATGAGGAAAAATGACCATTTTGAGACCTGCCAAGCCCTCAGTATTTAATAACTGAGGAATTTTGGCGCAATAAAGAGTAAAGAGATTTTTTTTTCTTATTGCACTGAAAAAGAATTATGCGAATGTCTTTTGCATTATTAATTTAGGCATTATTACCTACCACGAAGTCACGTGGAATTCAGAAAATATTCACTGAAAAAAAGACAGATTTTTAACGTTTCTTTCGAGAAATTCGATAATATTGAGCTATGTGCCTCTCTCTCTCTTTCACACAATTCGCGAATCTCTCGATTGCCAGTTACTGGTAATAACGTCATATCAACTGTAGACGAAGTTTTGAAGTTAAATTTTGTACGTTTTATCGGTGCCTTATCTTTTTTTTTTATTTTTCTTTATTGCGAACACATTTTTCCGCCGGCGGATGCGTTGCAGTTGCCGGCGCGATATCGAAGCTATAGGGTATAAGAAGCAACGAGAAGCATGAGAGTCATTTCTGCTCGACAATTCCGAGCGCGATCAACGAATCGGAGAAGAACAGAATCCGCTTTCTCTCTCTCTCTCTCTTTCTCCCGAGCTTGGAGCTTATCGCTCGTGTAACGAGCCACGCCGCCGCTCTGTGACGCAGAAAATGCCCTCTCCTTCTCTCGTAAAAACGCACACACAAGCGATCCGCACACCGGCACTATGATTGTCGAAGGGAACTTGGAAAGTACGTGCCACGCACACACGCACGCGGGTTTGGCACACGCCGTCTCGTAATCTCGTGGCTTAAACTTTTAATAAGTAATGGCGCGACCTTGACGAAGAGGGTGGTCCATCGCCGTTTTTAAAATCGTCACGCGATGCCAACTCGACGGCGATTGTATTATCCTCGGTGGTATCATAGTGTCGTAAGAAATAAAAACGCGACCAGCGCAAATATTTCTCTCTCTCTCTCTCTCCACCTTTTATCTGGTTTATCCTCGAAGGATTTCTAACGTCCACTATAACGCGCGAACGCTCGATTTTGCCATCCCTCGTGGGATCTCTTCGAGACTACCTTCGGGTAAAGTCGCCGAGCGCCATGAAGTACTAAGCTATTTATTAGACTCGCTTATTAAACGGATCTCTCGCGTTAGGCCAAGTGATCTCCAAGCGTATGCAAAAAAGAAGGGAGGTGGAAGGCTCGTCGCGCGAGAGACAGGCTTAGTGAAAAAAGGTCCTCGTAACGCTACGTAACGTCTACCAAGTGGCCCTAGAAATTAGTAATTACAGGTAAAAAAGGGGGAATATATCTCTTTATAGAAAAGGTTTCTCTCTTTTCTTTTATACGCAACGTGTAGCGAATTATTGTGTCTCGTCTCCCCGAGTCGCCGAGTCGATCGACGACCGGAGAGCTATATATGGCCGAGGTATTTTCCGGCGAGAGATCTACGGCCGTGTGAGCTGCTTTAAGACTACGTTAACAAACCTATATCGGCGAAATCGGCCTGCGCCGCCTGCGAAAAAAACGATCTCCAATCGCCGATTCTATCTATAGAAAAGAAAAAAGCCCGATCTACATATCGCGAAAGATCGGCGACAATACGTTTGCCGATTGATTGTGCGACGCGAACATGCCTGTCAAACTGATCGTTCCCTGTTCAATAAACAGTCGTCCGATGCGTGCGATCAAGTCAATCGATCGAGCCTGCATCGTTGATCCTCCCCTCGGTCGTTCGTAGAATATAGAGCAACGGATATCGAACGCGATCTCGGTGAAGTACAATACAATATAATGGTTTCTCAGCGGTGAAACATAATCTCTTAGGACGGTTACCTTTAGAATAGACAGCGGAAACGGAGCAACGCAGGCGCGTTTAATTCGGCACACAGGACAGAGAAATTGACGTGTCGAAGAGATTGGTCGAAGGACGAAGAAAAAAATTCTTCTTGCCGCATCCTCATCTGCGATCGATCTGTCGCGACGATCGTGACACCTCGAAGTGACGTACGTATTTTATCTTACGTTCGACGTATACGTGTGTGAGCCTGGTGTAACAAGTAGTCGTGAAAATTCTAAAATTCATCTCTTTCTCAAGCGCTCGCGATATTCCGCGCGTCGCGGATTAATTTTAACATCGCGGAAACGGCATTGTGGGGGCTAATGTGTCACTATATATACATATATGCGCGTATGTAAACTCCGACAGTATTTATAGACGTTTATCGTACATTATATCTCATTGTCGGATAGAAAAAGTCTTCCCGCGTCAAACCGTAGCGATTCGCTGGCGAACTCTCGCAGAGATTGGAAACCACAGATTTCTATATACATCCTAGATCGCTAACTCCGAGAAATGAAGTGAAGCCATTTAATTCAGGAGAGGGAATAGCAGCTTAATGGATTACATTCCAAAACGTCAAAATTTTAAACAGTATTATTAAAATTAAATAGAAGGAATAGGCTTCAAAGAATGTTATTAAATGTACACTAACACTACTTCATAAAGCACTGTATGTGATTACCGGATAAATATATGGTATATGGCTTCAACACAACTGGTAACAAACTATAACATGTTAGCGATATAGATATTTTATATAAAAATCCGTGTTCGAAACCGTGCTTCTCTCGAAAAAAAAAAGATACTTTAATTGAAATTAGTTTACCGAAATATCACGCTCGTTTCTACATTCATGCGGAAAAAACAAATAAAATTTTGGCATATGACAAAAATTGCGTTTACGTTTTAATGCGCTTGGCACGCTAGTCAAACAATCAATGTGATGAACGTCATGGTTCTAAAAAAAAAATAATTTTCGTACATGAATCGGAACGATTCAATTTACCCCCGTGTTTAACGCGAGAGAAGCATTCGTGAACGAGAGCGATTTTCGCGAAATTCCTATATAAATTTCTTTCAACCTTAGCAATATCGAAGTTTCGACCCTGTCGTGTCACAGAGAACTTTCCGCTCGCCCCAAATGTGACGGTTTATTTTTCGGTATAAATCAGATTGTATTTATCGGTACACAAACGGCATCCATATGTACGAAAAAGCTATATTTTATTTTATCGATATATATCACTCTTTCTCTCTGGCCCTTTTGCCTGCCGCACGAAACGTCATGTGTTTCAGCGACATCAGATTTAACCTGACGTTTCGAAATTGAAATAATTTCAATCACGAGCCGAACAAAAACGGGAATGATGAAATTCAATGATAAAAATTCCGAATGTTTTCACTCGCGGGTAACGATAACGTATATAAAAATAATGGATATTTGCCTAACAAAATTTGATAAATTTATAGAGACGCAGAATATACATTTCGCATATCTTGCTATATAGATATATTGGAAATGACGGATATCGCTTAATTGCGAAATACGAGATTTATAGGATCGAATTATGCTCGGCAAATATTTTTCCACGTTCGCTTAGAAAAAGATTGCGGATATAAATGTATCGGAAAAAGTTCGCTGCTGAATCGCCATCATCGTGGCGAAAAAAATATCCGATAAAACTTTAAGCAATTAGTCGCAAAAGCGGGAACGGGGAAATTGCATCGGGAGTAGCGAGGGGGAGGGAGATGAAGCGAATAAAAATATTCGACTGTTTCGTGCGAAGCGTGAATTGTATCCTTACTCGTAAAATAATGTACGGACACGCACACGCACGCGCGCACGCTGCAGGTACTCATTTTAATAACCGATTGCCAATGGCGCGTTTCCTCTTCTCATCTTTTTCTTACGTCGCGCGATCTCGGCGGGCGTTATCTTTTATGACAATTTATCTTACAATTGACAACAACAAATTTGGCTCTTATCTCGACTATCCTTCCGATCTGCGTAACTACAAACGAACGTTTTTTTTTTTTTCTTTATGTACAGCTTTCTACACGCACGAAAAACGTCGTTCCAGGCCGTCGTCGTCGGCCGTGAGGAATCAGCGTGCGGCCCGAGAGAGCCTCTTCATTGATTGAGCTCGTGTCCTTTCTCGTCTCTGGAAGACATGTAAAAAAGCACCGAGGAGTCTAACATATCCCTATCGTCGGTTTTTTTTTGTCTTGAACGGTACGATTTCTCGCGGATCTCTCCGCGTAAAAGGCTCGTGAAAGCTATGCATTCGCGTGTTGATACTCACGCGGATCGATATACTCACGTGCACCCGATTCGGGCCACGTACCATATCCTCTCGCATCCGAGAAAGTAAATAGTCGAGAGGGTCTCATGCACCGGCCGATTTCCTCGCCGACGGACGGACGGTCAGATGCCACCACGTTCTATATGGCACCCTCTCTCGCGTGACCCCTAAATCGTTCCTTCGTTGTTGACATTTCGGTGTGTGATTTTATCGTCGGGATAAATTTCGCGACGAAACTCGCGCGAACTCAATCGTCGAGGATCGTAATCGCGCACCTGAAGAAGATTACCGCTCGCTTCCACGCAGATCAGGCGCTCTTAATCGCTTCGTATTTATTACGAGGAATCATGTAACACCAGACCAATTGCCGGGGAGGGGGGCGGTGAGACAAGTGATTGCTGCAGCTACGTTAAAAATCGCCAAATTCGATGTGAAGCGCATTTATTCGATCGAATAAAAATGTTTATCATTTAAGTTTAAGTATTACACAAGTGGTTAATTTGACTGAACTTTTTTTCAGATTGTATTCCGACTTGTGTTTCTAATCAGAGTGAGCCCTTATTGGTGAGGCTTGCTGGAATTGAGGGCACCTAGTCTGCATCGACACGAGATATATACTATATATGTGTATATATATATATGTACCAACGCACCGTTTTCGAACGCGGCGACAATGCAATCGACGATGTACAACATACGGTGTGCACCGCGATCGGACTTTTCGTGAGCACGTCGCAATAACGTTTCTGCGACATACATGTATGCCGTGGTACAAGGACGCGTCTCTGAAGAGCGCCGCGTTAAAATGCTGCGATACACCTAATCAGCCGTTGCTGCCGATCCCGGCGGAAACCTGTCAATCTTTCTCACCCTCTCGCCTCGGAATTTCTCACCCGGACGTCTCTCCGTGTGAAACGAGACGCGTCGGCGACACGTTGATTCCTGAACGACGCTGTCCGCCGTCGTGCTCCGCGCTCCGAGACGAGGATGCCTGTGTCACGTGGCTGAAGCAAATATCGAGATCGGCTGCAGACGAGCGATGGATTTCCGTCCGGAAGAATTCACCCCGTCTTAGGGAGGCGCCGTGACGTTCTCGGGCACGGAAATGTCTCTGTTCAGGGAGTTGAACAGCTCCTCGTTCTCCTTCCGCACTGAAACGATAAAGCGGTGCCGGTGAGTGAAGCGAAAAACTCAAACTTATCTTCTCAGAGATACATGACACAGAACTTTCGTCTTGCGCCCCCGCACGTTATCGCGAGCGAATAGACGATCGTACATAGATTTATGTATACTTTCCGCGTTCCGCGTTGGAACAGATTTTTCTCAACTCCGGCGATGGCGAGTTGGACTTAATCGCTCGTGAAGTGGCGCAAAACTTAAATTAGCCCCGTCGAGCGTTGCGGCGAAACTGTATTACAAAAGTTAAATCGAGCAAAGTAAATTAATCGCAAAGAAATGCCATTCAGCTCAGCTTATGCTAAACCAGCGAAGGGAGAGGATTGTGGTTAGTGACTTCAAATGCGACTTAAAGATCTCGATATTTTAAAGGAAACATTCGATATATTCTACAATATAACGAAACATTCAGGGTTAGTGTCCAAACTTTCAGATTTCATGATTTACAACTGTGCTCGGTCAGCCCCGTCGAGTCGGCTGCGGGACTCAGGAAGCTGCTATGCGTCAAGGTGATCACCACCACCAGTATCGAAGCCGCCAGGAGGAAGATAAACGTCCCCAGTACGATCATGGCGATTCGCCGGTGACGCCTCGCTTGCTCGAGTTGCCGGGTGTCCTCTATTATCTTCCGCGTCTGCTGAGCGTCCGCCTTTGTCGGGCGGACGGACTCCTTTCGAGAAGCTACGGTGCTTGCCCTCCGTGGCCTGGTTTTCTTGCTAACGCTCGCTCTTCTGTCATCCCCTGAAGTTTCATGTCGTTGTCACGTATTAATGTTAAAGCGTTTTCCCGCTCACGCCCTGCACGGATTGGAATTGATCGATAGAAGCGATAATCCCTTTTGTGGATTCTCCGAGGCAAAACGCGATACGTTTCCATTCGTCTTTAATGCATTCGCGACGTCACGAAGCGAAGTTGAGAAAGTCGAGTATTTTATCCGTTTATATTTTGATGCCCGAGAGAAGCGAGGCATGGAACGCGAACCGGCAAGTTATAAGCTCCACAAAGGCAATATTGATTCGCGGCTAATTATAGTTAGTTCCCTTTAATTAATTACGAAAGGAATAGAACGTTTTTTCCGACTCGTTTCAATTATCCCCTACCTAGAGGAGTCGGACGGCTGCAGCTGTTCGTCCTCGAACGACTCGACGTGCTGGAGCGTCTGCTGGACCGCTGATCGACGTCTAAATTGCATCTCGAGCGTCTCGGGGTGCTCGTCTGGGAGTACGGTAGATTAGGCGAGGGAGACGGGGATCTGTCGCCCGACTCGAGGAGACACAGGCCGGAACGATCGTCCAGCTGGAAGCCCAGACTATCGGGCGGATACAGACTGGAGCGATGACCTATCATCCGCGCGCCGTCCGGTTCGACGGACAACGTAGCGTAAACGTCCTTGGCACGGTTGTAGAACCCCGACGATAAGTCCTGGCCGGTCGCCGCCGCGAAATCGTCCACGTAGAGGATTATCCTCTCGCACGACGCGCCGCTCGGCCGTCGATTCCGCTCGTCCCGATGATCGATGTCCATGGCGAGGAGGTGAATTAATGACCTCGAGAACGCGCCGAGAAGTCCAAAGTGTCGTTCTTCATCGTCACGCTTTCGTCATCGATTGCTTTACGTTTATTCGACTGGGGGTTTACCGCGCCGCGCCGTGCCGAGAGGGATGAATTTTTCCGCGAGGGAATTGTAAGGCTGACACTTATAAAATGACTGATCCATATCCCGTCGTATTATCGATGATGCATATCGCATCTCCGTGGGCCGCGGTTATTCATCACTTTGTCCCGGTGGAATCGCTGCTCGTAAAATAGCTGTTATCAGCTCGCGGACAATTATTTCTTGAAACGAACGAATTGATTTCGCGCTGAAACTTCGGCCGTACATTCCGCCGCTGCGTGGCTGAGGGGAAAGATTTTTATGGAGAGTAGGTGATAAATAACTGGAAAGCTATTTATATCGCGTCGTAAAGGGTGATTAAAGTAGATCGACCGCGGTTTTCACGGGTTTCCCATCACGGCGAGATAAAACATTCTCTCTCTCTCTCTCTCTCTCTCTCTCTCTCTCTCTTGCATGCGCTTTCGTGTTTAATCGCGGCTACGCGAGACACCGCAACAAGCTCAAACGAGGGCCACATCGTTTTCCATGAACGTCAGCAGCGCGCGAATATTTCTCGCAAGAATGCCGCATAAGCGCTTCCCGTGCATGAGATGTTTACAGAATGCCTCGTCTTGTGTTCGTCAGCGAATTACTCGGTCTTATCTACGCCCTTATAGCTTATCCGGGAAATCTAAAAGCACTTAATTATCCGTAGATTCGCCTCGCGATTTGGTATCATTGATTTCTTCGAATGTTTCTTTATAACAATTTACTTCAAATACTTTTCCGCTTATTAAATTAACAGCGTTCATTATAACGTTCGTGCTCAATGAAACTCGATACGGATATTGAAGTTACCAACAATCGCCAATAAAACGTACAAGTTGAAATTCGAAAAACAATCAGAACAACTCTGAAATCTTATAATGAGATGATTAAAACTCCGTGATGCGGATAACGAGGATAATGTTCTTGGCCTTGATTCTCAAGGACTTTGAACCCGCGGATACGATCGTTATTATTGATCATCCTTCACGTACTTAATGTTACATTGTGCAGGTATCTTATTATAATAAACCCGCCAGAAAGGCAAACGTTGACGCGATAAACACGGGGCTGTGCGCTAATCCTAAACTGTTATCGCTCCGATCAAGTGCACCAAAGTGTCTCAAATTAGAAGAAGCAAAGTTGATAAAACGATCTATCAAAACAATCTCGTCTGTGATTAGATATAGCGTTACCAAAAATTTTTATTCCTCTCGTGCTTATTTTTGCACTTCGAGAATATGGGTGCCATTGACGAAATTATCTCGAGTTTAGCGGCGAGGAGCAATGACGTAAAAAAAAACACTGGGAAACCGGCAATCTTGGTAATTATAGAGAAGAAATAAAAAGTTGTCAAAGAAGAGAAGAAGAAGAAGAAGGACGGCTAAAAACGTCGTCGATCCGCGGTGTGGTGGACGTCACCCTTGAGTTTATTGCGATGTGTATTTTTAGCGACGTAGATCCGCGGCGGGCATCGCCGCTCTCCGCCGCGGCGCGCGTGTCTCTTTCCCCGCGGCCCCAAAATCCGCCGACGCGTACGCAAATCCCGCGTGTTGCGACGCGCACGCACACATATTTTCCACGCGTGCATGCCGATAAATATACTCGGCCAAATATTTAGAGAACTCACCACCCACGGGTGGCGGCTGAAATTATTTGAATATCGTCGTTGACGTGGTGTAGAACGAGAGAGACGAACGATCGATTTCCCGTGACTTATCCCTTGGCAAGGGTCCCCCTTGGCAAAGTGAATTCGGACCCTCGACGAACGGAGGCTCACCTACGGAGGATGGATGGGGCGTAAACGACGGCCTCAATGGCGGTGCCGTCGATTTTTCTCTCCCGCTCACGAAAATCTATCGCCTTGCATTGAAGCCGTCCGACCGGAGTCGCCCGCGTTATCCATTCGGCGAAGTACCCCTCAACGACGGTAATCACGGCTTCGATTTACCGCGCGATTCCGATACCCACGCGCGATCACCGGGAAATTGGTAGCCGGAAACGGAAACTAAGTGTAACGGTATAGAGTTCCTTTTAAGTTACCCGGTCCGACGATCCCCGGGGTCTCCTGCAGGCTTCCCAATTTTTCCTCGATCGAGAGTGCATAATCGGATGGAAGTCTTTCAGCGCTCCGTAAGGCTGAACGATAAGGCTTTATAGACGTTTCAGCCCGAAAGACTTTTACGGTGTGTGACAAATTGCTTGCGGGGTCGACGGCGATCGCGTTTCGAAACCGTAAATGCGATTTCACTTTATCCGGCGTACTTTTCTCGACGTCGTAACGGCGCGGCGGCGTTCGAGATTGGCTCTCCGGCATCTCGCGCGCTGAATTTTCCATTGATCCGCCGTGTACGTACGTCTCCTCGCCGCAACCGCCAGACATCGGTAATCGATGACGCCCGACTCTCTCGCGCCGGTTACAGATATTAGCACATATACGAAATACTGAATGCTACGAAGGACCTAATAACCGCCCCCGGATATGTCGGAGAAGCGCGGAAGAGCGAATGACAGGCGTAACAGGTGATACAGGCACTTACAGTGTGTCGCCGGAACTGCGGATGCTGCGCATCCGCGTAGTTACTAACGGCAGTGCTTCATTAATTTTCCAACTACGCTCCTATCGATGTCAGATATAATTCGGGTCGCATAGGGAATATTCCAGAATTTTAAAATATAGCAAGCGCCGTCATGATGGAAAAGTTTTAATGAAGACTTGTAACATTCTGCGAGCGTTACTCAAGGAATTAAAATTTAACGTCGATCCATGTACCTAAATGTTACTATTGAAAAAATAATGTAGCAGATTTCTTGTGACAAATTTTAATGATTTTCAACTAGAATGATATACGAATAGTTTTTTTTTTATATCAATGGGGAAAAATGTCTTTAGACGAAGAAAATTAAATAAGTAAATGAAAGAATTTAATTTAATTTTCTATGACTGGTTTCAAGGCAGCGAATATCAGACTTAATATTTAAATGTTAAAGTTAGAATGACTTTTCCTTACAGATAATTTTAACAGTAAAAATACTGAATCATATTGAAAAGAAGATGAATCGCAGATTGCTTTTATAATCGTCTGGAAGGCAACCAGGAATTATTCATTCCTGGTTGTATTATATGTTACATTCAAGTTCTAATATATTCGTGATTAATTAATGCGCGATTTAGCTTTTGTGTAATTAATAAGTAAAGTTCGTAAGTTATTTCTCGAAATTGTAATAAACTTCACTGTAATTTTAACGCAATGAAAAATGATACTTTAAGGATTGATATAAAACATTAAAAAAGTATCAATCTCTTTCAAACTTTTAAAAGTTAAATATATCAATC